CTCTCTCTCTCTCTCTCTCTCTCTCTCTCTCTCTCTCTCTCTCTCTCTCTCACAGTGGTAAGGGGACAAGGTGGACGGTAGGAAAAAGGATGAAATACAAGGACATTAGAAATGGGGTGATTGTTATGCAGATGATAAGTGGTGATGAAGAAGAAGATTAAGAATGAAGCAATAGTACTAATTGTAGATCTAGTTGCAGCAGCAGTAATGCTAGTAGTAGTAGTAGTAGTAGTAGTAGTAGTAGTAGTAGTAGTAGTAGTAGTAGTAGTAGTAGCAGTAGTAGTAGCAGTAGCAGTAGTAGTAGTAGTAGTAGTAGTAGTAGTAGTAGTAGTAGTAGTAAAATCATCCTTATCATCATTTTCATCACGAGGCTCCTGTGGTCTAAGGGAATGGTATTCGCATCCATAAGCATCATCATCATCTTTTAGCTTTATATAAATTTACTACAGCAGAATATAATGATTTAAAAGGTTACTTACGTGAGCTGTTTACTGTGAACGAATCAGTCTTGGAGACACCACAAACAATAATTAAGAACTCTACTCGCTCTCTAGAACATAACAATGGAGGATACCTCACTAACTCTTTGCAACACCACAGAGATGCTGTTCCTCTTCAGCAATACAAATTATGTTTCAGTACTTCACTTGAATGGAGTCAAGTTATAATCAATATTCATCTGTAAAGGAAGAAGGCACTGAACAATACTGAACATATAAACTACCTGTAAACAGAACCCAAAAAGAAAAAAAGTAACAACCCCAAACCTAAAAAAAAAACCGGAACAAATTAATAGGCTACAGCACACACCTTTCCCTTCAGTGAGGACTGAACAAATCAATTTCATAAATCCGGATTTTTTTTTCTCGCAACAGAGCCAACACCTATTGGTCCGGATCAGAATCTAATGGAACGATCTGATCTTAATCACACATAATTTGTGTAATTTTACATTATGCATGTATCAGAAAAGCATTAATATATACACACAGATGTATAACAACAACAACAACAACAACAACGACGACAATATTATTGTTTTTGCAAAGTGTTTTACGGCGCTCGCAACTGCATAGGTCATATGACCGCGCGGGACACTCCTAATATTTTCAGTT